TATGCATAAATTATAAATATAAACCAAGTTTGCAATACATATATTTTAGATGCATTGATGATACGTGTTAGTGCAAATATGGGTAGCAATCATTGATTTTCATACTGACCCATGCGTCATGTAGAATTTAATGGAACAATTGTCAAGGTTGTAAACATCTCGAGTTCAAAGATGTTTAACTAAGGAGGAAGAAAATATTGAGCTTGAATTATAGTTTTCCCACTGCAATTTTGGTGTAACATCTTAGCATATGATTGGCGGTAAACAATTTTGTTTACATATAGATAGAAATGAACGGTGGATAAACGGATAATACTTGTGGGTACCATGAAATATGAAATATGTGAAAAAAAAGTGGTTTGACTTTTGTCAAACATACTTTTAGTTAGTCTTTGGTGCAACAACTATATGGCTATAGACTAAATTTCTCACTAGCTTATCTACCTAATTCTGAACATTTGAAACACGAAGAAATTTCTTCCAGCTAACATAGGAGATATTCTTCATCAACAAAATGTATATCAATTGCCTATACTTATTGTCGGGGGATGGATCTATAAGAATTCACCTAAATCAAAAAATAAAGAAGATGAGTTCTTACTTGGCTGAATAATTGATAAGGTGGTGACTCTTAAGGTGATTTAGCTTTCATGCCTAAATAACCAGAACTCGGTACATTTTGTTGACCTTAACTAATTTCATTTTTTCTTTTGGAGCCATCAATATATTCATACTGATCCATTGGCTGCTTTTGCAGTCTTACGTGACGCATGCTCTTAAAGTGGAAGGCCTTAGAGGTATCACAACTGTTCCTGCTAAGCTGGAGTCGACCACTCTTGTTTTCGCCTATGGAGTGGATCTGTTTTTCAGCCGGCTTGCACCTTCGAGGACTTATGATTCTCTTACAGAGGATTTCAGTTATGCTTTGCTTCTGATCACAATTGTTGCCCTCGTCACAGCGATTTTCGTAACATGGATTTGGTCGGAAAAGAAGGAGCTGCAGGAGAAATGGAGGTGAGTCGAAGCTGTATCTTTTGCCTATTACATTTTTGATTCACCAGGTGTAACCCGGTTAATATTTTCATTTGGCTCCTGGGTTTGTTTAATTTTGTAATGGGTAAAAATATATGTTTCCGGTGTTGTAAATTTAGAATGGTGAGCAGAGAATTGAGCAACTGTTTACGCTTGCACAGTAGTCTCAGCTCTACAGATTTTGTCATTTCATCTAAGATTATTCTATTATTGACCATGGAAATTGTTGGTTGGGAATTTACATTTTTCAGTCGTCATTACTTCGCGAGCTTCTGATATTTTAACAAATTTAGGGGTCGGTTCGATCAATTCTTTTTCGAGAGTTGAAGTAGATCCTTAATAAACATAGTTCTGATATGCAGCTCCTAAATCAATTACTGAATTTCACAAAGAACCTAAAATACTAGGAAAAATTGAATTGAAAATTATAATAGTGTGGAAAAGTAAGTGATGCTAGGAGGATGTTCGATGAAGTTTCATGGAACTCGATGTTGGTGGGATATGTTTTAACAGGGAGTGTTGAGGAGGCTAAGTTAATGTACAATCAAATGACATGATCTGATCGAATTTTTATGATTGTACTGTTCGATAAGAGAAGTAAGGTGAGTGAAGCTTGTCAGCCGTTGAACGGAATGGAGGAGAAAGATTTGGTTTCTTGGAAACTTGGACTGCATTGATTTCTTGTTATGAGTACGATATAGGTTCTTGATTGAGCTCAAATAATGAGTGGAACTCGGGTTTAGGTTTAATCAGATATGGGGTTTGTTTTGGGCAGGATGGTGGCGGATTGGTTAGTCTGATAAGGAACATAGTGGATTTATGAGTTTCAATTATCATTCTCACATTTAAACTTTGATTTACTCTTCCCAACTCCTTGTATAAAAATAAAAAATAATATTATTTATCATCAAGATTAGTAATGTGGCAGTCTATGTGGAATAACGAGATTGCGCAATTCAATTTTATAATAGGGGTGAAGGAGAGAGAGAAATGTGAGAGATAATGAGTTGTTACATTACTGATGTTCCATTATAATTATGATAAATAGCGTTATTCAAAAATAAATAAATGTGATTCAATTAATTTCTTGATTAATGTAATTCTATTAAATCGATCTATAATGCTCCATTAACTAAATGTAGGGGTTATTACAGAGAATGTTCACCTTTAGAGTGTGTTTGGGACACATTCTTTTGAAAGAATGTATTATTGAATAGTAAATTGATGGAGAATGTGTGGTTAAAAATGAAGGAAAAGTTATTAATGTGATGAAAAATATTATTTTATTGAAAAATGTGTGGTTGAAAACGAGTAGAAGAATGAGAATGAAAAAAATAATATGTACCAAACAGAGCCTTAATCTCGCATGTCAAGATTTATTCTTAATATAGTATTTGATCGAATTCTTCTTAATGAATCAATTTACTCTTCTCGAGTTCAAATTAGCTCTATCTAGCTAAATTAAGTCACCATGTTTATATGTGAATCGGAATAAGTCTCAACTAAGATGCATCCAAGTTTCTAATAATTCAACTAATGATTGTAACAACTGTAAAAGCACATCTCTGGCCTTTAAACAAGAATTTTGAAAATTGAAATTAAAGAGTCACACCAAGTCCCAATTTGATGGTCATTATTGAAAAAAAAAAATGATGTTTTGAATATTGAATTTTTTTTAAGAATGTGTGGTTAAAATGTAGAAAAAGTTTTTGATTTACGTACAAAATATTTTATTGTGTGAATGTGTGGTTAAAAATGAGTATGCGAATTAAAGAGTTTTATTTTAAAATGAGACAAATGGAACCTAAATTACATAATTCATCTTAACCATGAATTTAGCTACACATGATGATGAAAAATAAGACGCAAGAAAATAATTCAGCGCATCAATGAGTTTAAAACAAAGATGAAGAAAGGCGACGATCTTGCACGAAGAATTTCCTATTCCAAGCCCATTCGTTCTGCCTTATGCGTTCCGCGTTCGTACAAGAAAAGGTCCATGCGATCTCTTTGTAGGTTGTGCACTTTGGCCATCCATTTCAATTTCTTGTTCAACCTAAGTCCTCCAATATTGTAATGTAAGTCCTTTAACTTCTAAACTGACAGTCGGATCCCCAATTTCAGAATTAGTCCAACATCTATTTTTTATTTATTTATTTATTTTTTATCAAAATTTGTCTACTAGTTTTATCATCTCATCCAATACAGAGTTTTTTCTTAAAATAATTATAAACATACAAAATTAAGTATCTAAATAATAAAAATACTCTCAAATACCCACTTTTGATGGTCCGAATAATTGTAAAATCACACTTATCAAATCTCTACGAATTTGGACTTTTGTTGTTTTCAAATAAAACAAGATAAAGACTCAACTAAACACATATACTCAACTCGACATATGTTATTAAATGTTTCCTCGAAGTGAATATATAGATCTCAAAATTCAAACAAGTTAATGAAACACAAGAATGAACAGTTATTTCACAAACTCTACATATCGTATATTCAACTTTTGAGTGTGTGTAAATCATTCTCAATTCCATCGATGTTACTTGAATCAAGTTATGCAATTTAACTCCTAAATTTTTTTTCAAACAATATCAAAGTCTCAAGCATGTCAATATAATCTCTCATGACTCATATTGCTCTATTGGTTTTTTAATTTCTTTTCCTGAAGGTAAATAAACAAATGGTTTTGGGCTTATATCCATCACCAACTCTTATCACTCTCTAAATTCTTACTCGATGACCAAGACTTAGCTAAAAAGTAGCGCGTCTTCTATTTCATGCACATGCTTTTATTGTTTTTGCTCTCCAAAACAAGAAAACATACACATTTATTTATTTATTGTTTTGTTCTATATATTTTTTATTTAATTTAATTTTCTCCTTTTCGCTTTAGTTGTTTTTCCAGACATGGATGATATGAACACCGTACATTTTCTTCTTATCGTTTTTATCTCCACTCTAGGATAGGTAGTATCTCTCAACATCAATTTTTGATTTGGTATGATTACTAATGCAATTCGATTCTTCCTACACTTTCGCCTCTTTCTTCCTAATCTAGTGCAATATCTTTTATTCGATCAACATCAAGAAAAAATAGTTGTACTCTTTTTTTCTTCTATAAGATTTTGTTTTACTGAGTTTTCTTGACAGTGTTTTGATGAATCATCACTTGTTTTAGTACTCCGAAACTAACTTTACATTCTTTTTCTTCGTTTGAACATTTTTTCTTATCAAATTTTTATCAAATGAAATTTGTAATGAGATAGATATCTTGTAATTGAGTAATACTATTTAACAATACTGGTGTTAAAACACCAATTTAAGTGGCAATAATTAAATGAAGTTTAATTTTATATTCATTGAACCATCACTTAACGTCACCTAAATTAAATTAGTGATTCAAGTGCATGTTGTAAAATTAAATTAAATGTTAATTGTCGAATTATTATTATATCCTATAATCCTAATTATTATGATTAATTTTCATCTGCTGTCCTAATTCTTATCCATAAATATAAACATTTAGTTCTGATCTCTCTATTTTCTTATAAGGTTGTCTCCTTTCTTTTGGTTTCATAACATTATCTTAATTATTGATTGATTATAATTTAAAAGTTATGAAAATTCACGTGCTAATTGGATTTTGATTTTTTAACATTGATTTTTATTTATTAATTAAAAAAATTAATTAATATTGTAAAATAATAGATGCTTATTCACTTTTTTAAGTTTTTATAGCAATTTTTTTTAATAATACCAGACCAGTTTCCAGCGCACCAGATTAACGTACGACATTATAAGCACAAGATACAACTCCTCTTTGACCTTTGAACATTATCTGCGTCGTCCGAACGCCATTACAGTCGGTTATACTTGTACATTCATATATACATAACACAGAGGGCTCTCGAGTTCTCTCCATTATTCATTCACCGTTGGACAAGCAATCTCTTCTAATGGAAGACAACCATCCCGCTGCCTCCGCCGACGACGGTGCCTCCGCCGGTACCGTGGAACCGAAGCCTCTACAATCAAAAAGTTGGGCCGACATAGCTGATGAGCCCGATCCGGAGCAAGAGCAAGCCGGGCCCTCGGATGAAAAATCTGACGTTCAGTTGGATTCACTTGCCATCGACGAGTCCAAGAGAGTCAACAATAACCTCACCGATCCCGATGATTCAAGAATTGAAGCTGTATGACCTCTCTTTTACCGTGCAATGATTGTAAATTTATTTTATGTATTTGTGGGTTTGAATTCTGGGTTTTCTTTTAACTTTCTTTCTTTCTGAAATTAAAGATTTTGAGCAGGTTTTAGAGACTATTCACAATCTGTTAGATTTTAGAGTTTTATAAATATTGGTATTTTTAGTTGATTTCTGAATTTAATTAACTTTTCGCATTTGTACAATATTGCAATGGATCTAACTCTTTGAGATTTTTGGTCGAATATTAGTGGGTTTTCATGTTAAAAAAGTTGTATAACATTTCATTTCTCACTCCTTCAATAATTATTTGAAGTTTTCATTTCACTGTTAGTTTTCTGTTAGCTCTTATATATTGAAATAGACATATATTAGGATGAAGATTTTACTCGTTTGGTCCCTCTGGGATATGCTCATTTGGGATATTGATATTGAAATGTAGGTTACATCTGGTGACACTCCATATACATCAGCTAAGAGATTCGAGGACTTAAATCTTTCGCCTGAATTATTGAAGGGTCTGTATATTGAGATGAAGTTTGAGAGGCCTAGTAAGATTCAGACTATTAGTTTGCCAATGATCCTAACTCCTCCGTACAAGAATTTGATAGCTCAGGCTCACAATGGGTCTGGAAAGACCACATGTTTTGTGCTTGGTATGTTGAGCCGTGTCGATCCAAACCTCAAGGCTCCCCAGGCACTTTGTATCTGCCCCACCAGAGAATTGGCCATTCAGGTTTGTTGATTGTCATTTTTGGTAATTTTGTTCTTTTTTCCAGCTTGCTCTGGTACTTGGAAGGAGGAGGTGGGGATGAGAAGATGGGATCACATGTACTTGAACATATGCTGGCATACATTTTCAGTTATTTATATTTGATATTTGAACCACTGAAATTAGCCGTTTCTTGGTCTGCCATTCTAGTTAAATTGATTTAAGTTGATAGCAAACTGATTGTCACAGACAAAAAATGCTATTAAGTCTTAGAGGGTTTCTATTTGAATTTGAGTGTCTATGTAAACTCATGGAATATAATGGGTGGCTACCAATCTCAGTTCCATCAAAGGTTTGAAACTCGAGCCACATAGTATGGTTCTGATAAATAGACGCATGTAAATAGGTGCATGAATTCTGTTGCCGTGTGAAGCTTTAATATGAATGTAACTAGTGAGTTTTTCTAGTTTGATAAATAAAATGAGTAACTCCTGCAGAATATGGAAGTGCTCCTCAAGATGGGGAAATACACTGGGATAACTACAGAATTAGCAATACCATCAGATTCCGCAAACTACATACCAATTCAAAAGAGGCCACCTATCACAGCACAAGTAATTATTGGCACACCTGGTACAGTAAGTAAGTGGGTACTAGCAAGGAAACTTGGTGTGAGTCAAATGAAGATTCTTGTTTTTGATGAAGCGGATCACATGTTGGCCGAGGTAAATTAACTCCTACCTATACACACAATTACTCATTTTCTTCTGTTTTCTGCTTTGTTGGTTGTCCTTATTGAGATTTTTCAGTTATGTCTTTGAGCTGCTGCTTGCTCTTGTTCAAAACCTCTTAAAAACCTTTTGCTTCTCTAAACTGTAATATGAGATCAATGAGCCAGATACTTGGTGAAGTTGGAAATTTTTTTGATTGTCGATTAGCACCAAGATATACTTACGAGATCCTCTCCATACACATGCATTCTTGCTTACTTTGACGAGCGAGGGGTTGAAAATTGATATGATCAACTGTTATTGTGTAAAAAGAAAAAAGAAAGCCGAAAGATATACTTCAATTTGATTGCGCATGCATAAGGTCCTCATTTTTCTTAGTATTTGATCCATGGAAGGTGTTTGTCTCTCCTGCTGTTTCATTTTTGATATGAATTGTATTGTATTCTTGACATGACTGTGTTGCGTTTCAACTTTGGACGATCAGAGGATTCATTATCCTCTTTTTTTTTGGAAGGAGGGCGGTACCTCCGAGATTTTATTAATATATTCTCTTTATGGCGGAGGAATACCGTGGTTACAAATGATATCAATGAAATCAATAAATGAGGATTCATTATCCTCTTAACATTGAAGATGTTTATATGTTAAACGCTAAATTTGGTGTACTAATCACAGTCTTTGCTGTCTCATGTCACATGGAATTTACTTCTCATGTCAAAGATTCCCTGTGATTACATGCAGTGGGAGGATTATGACAAACAACAAACTAAATAAGCTTTGTTTCCATTAGAAAGATGGAGGATAATTATTTATTGCTAAAAATTTCTAATGTATTTGATTGATACCTACCTAAGTTATGTACTCCTATTAATTGAATATATTATTTTCTTATGCTTGAGAAATAAATGGCAGGCAATTGAAGATCTGTGTTCTTTCTTAATTTTGCTGATTGGGTGAATCTTTTTGGTATATGTAGAGTGGCTTTCAAGATGAGTCCGTGAGGATAATGAGGGCAATTCAAAAAGGCAATTCCAATTGCCAGGTTAGCTAATGTTACTGCATATTTTGAAATGGTTCTACAACGAAATGTGCTACAATAATAGTATTTGCTCGTATGCTGTTCTCCTGCTTATGTTGATTGCTTTCTGAACGAGTATTGTCTACTTCTTGATGACATGATCATTGATGAAAAGATCAGCTCTTTTTGGTTTCTGCCTCCTCCATACAACTTCTTTGAATCGAAATAATAACCTTATTCAGGTTGTGTTTGACACCCATTTTGGAGAAAGAATAAATTCTGGAATAGTGATTGATGGAAGAATGTGTGTGGTTAAAAAGTAAGGAGAATTTTTGGGTTTATGTGTAATATTATTTTATTGATAGAATGTGTGGTTGAAATGAAGAAAGGGAAAAAAAAATGAGAAAGAGAATGAGAAGAAAATGAGTGTCAAACAGGGGCGCAGATGCAATGTTGTCCGTGTCAAGACCATCCTCTGTATATAATATAATATGTCGTGTGACTATTTAACAGCTGAACTGGAATTAACAACTTACCTATTATGAGTTTCTAGCTGATGGCTTTTCCATTAGGAATGTCTAACTAAAAACATAGAAGGGAAGATTTCAATATATAGTAACTTAAAAGCACATGTTTAAAATAATTCTGGATTTTCATTGACGACTTCATGTATGTCCTTAGTGGATTGCGTATTTGACCTTGTGTTTGTTGCCTGCAATTGTCACCAGGTGCTCCTATTTTCTGCAACATTTGACGATGCTGTCAGGGCCTTTGTCTCTAAAATAGTCAAGGAAATATTTGTTAGAGACTATAACCAAATGTTTGTTAAAAAGGAAGAACTATCTTTGGAGTCTGTCAAACAATATAAAGTGCAGTGCCCGGATGAGCTTTCAAAGATTATGATCATTAAAGACAAAATATTTGAAATAGGAGAGAAGGTCGGGCAGACAATCATATTTGTCCGCTCAAGGAATAGTGCATCTATGTTGCACCAAGCTTTAGTCAAGTACGGATACGAGGTTACAACCATTCAAGGGGCCTTGAAGCAAGAAGATAGGGACAGAATAATAAAAGAATTCAAAGATGGATTGACTCAAGTTCTTATATCTACCGATCTTCTTGCTAGGGGTTTTGATCAATCACAGGTGATTATCTCTTCTACTGTTATTCCTAATTCTTAACTTAATGATTTCTATTTCGTATCCCGAAGTTGTAGAAGGTAACAATTTATTTCCCCAGGTCAATTTGGTTGTCAATTATAATCTTCCTGTAAGGTACGACAATCCTATGGAACCTGATTATGAGGTATACTTGCATCGGGTTGGTAGAGCTGGGCGCTTTGGCCGCAAAGGTTATTTCTCTTTCTGATTTTATTTTTTATTGCTTAATTTGTTCCCATTTTTCCATCAAACGTGCCATTTGACAACAATTTGGTGAATTCAAATAGCTCATGGGGAAGTTGCTCAATTTAGAATTTTCTCCCATAATGCTTACTTTGTTCCCATTTTCTTCCTTTTAATTGTAGGTTATGAATTTTCTTGTTGGAATAAAAAATTTCTTGAATGCATTATTTCCTTTGTTCACCCAGTGATTTTCTGTTCAAACCCCTATTTAATTATGTAATGTAGTAGTCTGAATTCATAATATATGAATAAATGTTTTTCCCTAAGAAGGGATTTGTAGCAGCCTGGTTATATATATATACACTCTTTTTCTATGTAAATTCCGCAGTATGACACTCTTTTCGTAATTTAACAGGTGCTGTATTTAACTTGCTTTGTGATGATAGAGATAATATGATCATGGACAAGATTGAGCAACACTTCAACGCTCAAATAACTGAGGTGACATCTTTGTACTATTGTGGGCAGAGTTCAGGCCATGACTTCTCATGAATATTCTAATTTTGCAATTAGTATATCATAAAATGGAGATTTTTAGTAGATTGCTTTGCAATTGTTTGTCCATATGATTTTGACAAGTTCTCAGGGTAGTTTTCTGAATCACGGTATATAACATTTTCCAACATTATGTGATGCAGTTGGGCTCATGGAAAAGCAACGATGATTTTGAGGGCGCTCTCAAGAAAGCCGGGTTGCTCTGAACGTTGGATGCAAATTGGGGGTTGCAATGCATTTATAGTTATCTGTGCTCTACTTCGGATTATTTTTATTTATTTTTTGTTTTGAGCTCTAGAAGTCACGGAGGGGGATGCACTTCTGTGCTTGCATTATTCGAGAAACAACACTGAACTTCCACCTTTTGTTTTCTTACCATGTATTATAAGCACAGGTTTTTTGGCGCTGAGTTCAGTGTGTTAAAATTTTGAATCCTAGATAGGTTTGGCTTCCTTACTTTCTTCCTGGTTCTTTTAATTGGTGTTCATTTTGAATCGTATGTACCACCATTGAGGTCTTGCCTCGGACATTACTTTTGATTGCCATGGCTCATACTCTGCATCGTATCCTATGCCTTGGGGTCTTCGTGTTTTATACTTGCTGATCAAATCTGTCATGTAAATAAAGAAACTCATACAATATAATTGTAAAACCAAGAAAAAAAAAAACCGAAGCGCTCAAATTCAAGCACGATATCACAAGAATGCCACTAAAACCCATAAATGTCATAATGCATTAGGAAAAAAAAATCAAATGACAAAATACGATAAAAAGGTAATCCTTAGCTTTCAAAATTCATTTTCATATATTGTTACGTATGTATATATTTGATCTAATAGTGTCTCTTCCATTGTTTACTAAATTCTTTGTCTATTGAAGCTCCGAGTGTTGGAATACTACACATATTCTTGTAATTTTGTCTGGTATAAAGTTCTAGTTAAACACAAATTCTAAAAGAATGTTATATATTTTTATTTAATTATATTTATGTCTATTTAAATAAATTTACATATAATTTAAAATATAATAAAATTTTATTTTAAAAGTGGATATATATATATAAAGTGTGGATGGAAATAACGGTACCTAAATATTATTGCATCTTAGTAATAAAATAGTTTACGTTTTCAGTGGCATTCTAAAATACGTAAATAAGATGATGAGGTTAAACATTAAAAAAAGTATCAAACTACATGTCTAAGCAAAGCCTAAACATTAAAAAAAGTTTTCTAATTTTTAATATTTTATTAATTATTCCATAACCATTAAATAAATAAAATAATGTTTGACAATAATTACTTAATTCCAATAGAATAACCAATTTTCATGTTTTCAAAAACTAAACATGAGTCCAAGGAACCATCGACTCTAATTTTGTGACTAGCCTACATTAGCCATTTAGGTTCAAGAAATGGCTCTAAAATATTTGGGAAAAAAAAAATAATTGAAAAAAGGAGCCCATCTTTTGCCACCTAGCCCACATCATGCGATCAAAAGAGAAGTTGGCCACTTTTTTTCACACATTGTCTCGCCTAGTCGTGCCTAGGTGGCTCATTTTCAAGTCTTTAAGAATACTGATTGTTATAAAATGATGTCTTTTTATGGTTAAAATCTCAATCGCTTAAAAATTTTGATGACACCATCAAACATTTGTAATCGCCAACAATAACCTTCACTATTAAACGCAATAGTCAAATCATGACACTACACAAGTCATATAGACTAAAATTAAGCTACCCCATTTCATTTACAATGGTTGAATAAAATAAACATGAATTCAAGACGAAATAATTGTAGTAGTACTAGCCAGAGTCCAAGTTCATGGAATCAACCAAATTTGACTAGGAAGTGTAATACTTGAATCACATTTGCCTACATCATTATAATAATTCAACATGGACATATTGAAATTATAGCATTTTGAAGATTTTTACAACCCCGACATTTCAACAATCTAATAATTAATTTGGTAGGTTGAATAGTAATGAATACGACTAAAAAATAAGATAAATTATTGATATTTTGTTGATCCGTGTCTTCTAGTTATTGTTTCCCAAAATTCGTAAAAAATCACTTATCGCAATATATGATAGATTCAGCCACCATGATATTAATAGCTTATTGTCTATTAATGAGAGAAAGATTTCGATGATTTTGTTTTTTTTTTTATTGTATAATAATCATATTTAAGAGAAAATTATTTCCTTCATAGTTTAAAATTTATAAATGGATTAAAATACACTTACCAAACATATTTCATTTTGGTCACAAAACTTATCTTTTGTTCAAGATTAGTCATTAAGATTTTATTTTCAATTTCAATTTAGACAATATACCTTTTGAAATTAATAGAATTTCTTACTTATACGATGGAAATGAGGTTGGCACTACAATTTATAAGTGTATAAAATAACTTAGGTAGGGAATAAGTGTAGATGGCTGTTTAATAGAGCACTATAATCTCTTAAGTGTACAAGTGAGTAAATGTTGAGATGTCGTTGTGTATCCACTACTCCCACTTTGTACAAGTTGTATTGAAATTTACTCATTTTCTGCTAAATGTATCTATCAGATTAGGGATAGCAATGTGGTGGGTATGAGACGAGTCGATTATTCCTACCCCCGTCCCATCGGGTATTTTTATTACTTTACCACATCCCCATACTCGATTAAAGCAGGACGGGGCAGGTTCAGACTGGGATCAAAGTGGGGCGGGGCAGGTCCCCTGCCCCATTTATTGCCCAATTTACTTTTACTTTTTTATTTATTTTATTTTTGCTTTTATTTTTTTATGTCTTTAGTTAGTAAATATTATTACATTTTTTACATTTTTACTAATTTGTTAAAAATAACTTTTGTTCTCTGTAAAAATGATGATAAATTTATTATTTTTGTTCGATAAAAACTTAAATTTGAAATTAACTTTAAACGCGATGGGTAGCGGGGCGATGACTATATTTCCCGTACCCACTTTGAGGTAATGACCCTCACCTCGTCCCGTCCCTGCCCCATTTACCTGGTTAGACAGGTAATCCTTGTCCCATTCGGGTCGGGACCCACGAGTATTGGGTTGAACGGGTTTTTTTGTCATCCGTAATCGGGTTGCTGTGTTATTCTCTAGAATTAATGAACGGGTGTTGAGGATTAGATGTTTTCGAAGTATATGCCCTCTAAATAGAGAGGTTGAAAATCATAACAAATACAATGATAATTCGAAATCACAGAGAATTTTTTGAAAATTCTCATTTCTTGCTTGAATGGCTCACCATTGAGATACTACATATATTAAGATAAGAAAGTAGTCGTGCTGATGACCTTGTAAACTTGCAAGAAATTCGAGATAAGAATCTATTGTTCATTAAAATCGCAAGTAAACAGTATAGAAGGCTAGTAATATATTAATGAGTTGAGTATCAGTCAACGCAGATTGTGTAAATATTTTTTATTCTTCACTTTAACCTAAGCTATTTGTGAGCTCGAGTTTGTGTTAATAAAAAACAACTAAAATTACTTGAAGAGTAAATGCTTTTTTGACAATTTTGAAGAAAATTCAATTTTGTAATGGTACACTTGCATTTTTCCACTTTAATTCATCTCAATTTTCCATAATTGACCAACGCATGATACAATTGATGATCAACAATCGTATTTTGTCTAATGATATCTTTCGAGTGGGTTAAACATATTCTTGCGGGCAATCTTCTTATATCTTTATGGAGATGATCATTATCACGTAAAGCATAGGATAAATCTCTATTTACCTTTCGGAGATTTTGAAAATAAAATAAACCACAATTCGTTCAACTGTTGATCAAGTTAATGAAAGCAAAGTAATTAGCAAACATTCAAACATCCAGACATTCTTCGTCTTGAATCTTCAGCAGTTACTTGAAATATCGAAGAACTTCAAGTTCCTTCTACTCTTTTTCAAGCCAGGTTTTCAATGTATGTATATGTGTTTTCTTGCAAGACAGTCTAACCTAATGATGGAAAATACTAACCCTAAAAGTCGACATCTAGAATTCCCGCCATAAGCAACAGGTTAGGTCCCGCTCACGCAACAGCCCTGCGCAGTTATACCATCTTCGTGTGTCTTTTAATTTCGTGGCTCAATAGCTCTTCACTTGTATGATCAAAGTGTTGGAAATAAATCCCACATCGCATGTGGACAATGTCTTGGGCCAGTTTATAAACAATGTGGCAAACCTCTCTTACTGAACTGATTTTGTGAGATGAGTTAGGCCCATGAATTTCTGCACAAAGTTCATCCTCATCTTTCTTCATTCTTTTCACAATTTCTTCTCAAGCCACGTCATTTTCTACATTAAACAAAGCAAACAAAAATCCATAGATATTAATTCAAATCCTAATTAAAGTCTTGTAAAATGTGCTAAGATCTATGATGCTAAATATCGAACCAAACACAAAGTAATCTCAAGATCGATGGTAGAAAAGACTAAACCAAAGTGGATTTTATTCAACCTTTCTAGATGCACAAATCCAAGACATAAAAAATGGAGATCATTACAATATTGGGGCCAGACAAAAAAAAAGAAATTGTACCTAGGGGTGGACAAAACCCGACTGAACCCGCCAAAACTGCCCAAACTGAACCAACCCGATCGGTTTGGGTTGATTTTTTTGTTGTTTTTACATGGGTTGTGTGGGTTAGTTGTGTAGGCGGATTGAGTTGGGTTCGGTTATGGGTTAATTCATAAAAATCGAATAAACCCGTCCAACCCAATCCAACTATATTTATGAACTTTATAAGTGTTATAATGTTGCTTGAAAACTCTTAGAATAATATTATAAGATTTGGATAAAATACATTTTACCAAAAATAGTATAAGCAAATACACATTCAACACAAAAACATTTTAATTGTCAAAAACATTTTTGACTTCATATAATTTAATATAAATTTGTCCATATAACATTTCCTGGCATGTAGTGCTAAAATAGTTCAGATTCTTTTGTTCATTGCAACTTTGGAGACCAAATATTATATAAGTCATGAATCAATTATAAATCCGTCAAATCCGACCCGCCTACTTTAGTTTTTGTAGACGGTTGTCCCAACCCAACCGATACTTGATTGGGTTGTGTTGTGTTGGGTTGGGTTTCAATCTTTGTACGGGTTGTGTTGGGTTAAATTATAATCAAACCGATCATATTTGGTTGAGTTTGGGTTGAGACAAAAATCAACTTAACTCAATCCAACCCATGCATACCCCTAAATGTACCCATTTGTATGACACACAAAAATCCTAACTCGAATCCTTTCAATTGCACCTTTATCGATTAAAAGGCAACTACAAGGATAGTTCAATGTTTCTATTCAATACAACATACACGGTGAAGAAGATCTCAAAAGAAAGAACCAAAATCACCCTTCCAACCAAATGTTTGGAAGTAGAACACCAAGAAAAGAAGAGAGATCAGTCTGGAAACACACAACCCAAATGTTGCAAGTGAAAAAGTGACTAATAGGACAACAAAGGGTATACCCTCATATCAACCATCGATCAAATCTTCAATCCAACAGTTCACGTGGTTTCTCAGATTAAACAATAAGGGCAAAAGCGCGTTGAGCTGCTGCCAAAGAGAGCGCTAAGCTTCAAAACACGACTTCAAACTATTTGGATCCAGGTCATTGGATTGGGCCATGTTATTGGGCAATTGCAAGTTTTAACAAAACAATTTTGGGCCTTAGCCATTTGTTTCATCATTGCCCCAAAAGGGAAAGTTGGCATCACGGCCCAACAACCTCCACCTTGATGTGAATGGATTTCCAACATCACAGCAATCCTCCAATGGCATTCCTTTATACCTACAAAACCAGTATCAATGTTAACAAAGACAAACATGATTTAAATTTTGAAAAAAGCAATACCTTTCCCATGTCAAACTGTGTACGGATATTTTCAAGAAAGACAGATTCATCTAAGATAATAACTCTAATAAAATGCAACTTTATATCCATGTGTTTTGTTCTTTCATGAAAATGGGATTCTTACCCAGGTGTATGGCATTTTGACTATTAGAATAGACAATAACATGCTCAGTAAGGATATTAATTTCATTTAATAACCTTTGAGCCACAAGTCTTCTTTTACAGCTTCTGTAGCTGCTACATATTCAGTTTCTGCTGTAAACAGAGCTACTAGGTTGTAACTAAGATTTTCAACTTACACAGGTACCACATAAAGTAAAAATATAAACTGTTGTGGATTTTCTGTTGTCTCTATCACCAGAAAAAGTCAACATCAAGAAATCCTTTAAGTACTACCCTTTCACTACAGGTTTTGAATACTAATCCTCATTGAGATGTGCCTTTCAAATACCTGAGAAGCCACTTAAGTGCTTCCTAGTGTTCCATGTCTAAGATTTGTCATAAATCTACTTAAGGTACTAATAGCATGAGCCACATTGGGTCTTGTACACATCATAGTGTACATAAGAGAACTCACAACATTAGCATAGGGTACCATTTACATATGTCTAATATCAGATTCATCAATATGGCACTATTCTTTACTACGTTTGAAATGATTGGCTAAATGTAAAGAAACAGATTTTGATTCATGCATAAAAAAAATTTATAGAACTTTTTCAACGTATGCACAGTGTTTCAAAGTAAACATGTGTTGGGACCTTTTCCTAACAATGCCCACCCCAAGTATTCTTTTTGCATGTCCCAAAATTTTCATTTGAAATTCATTACAAAAAATCCCTTTCATATCATTTATTTATTTGGGATCAGGGCCAATTAAAAGCATATCATCAATATATAACAACAAATAAACAAATATAATATCATCAGATTCTCTTTTAAAGTAAAGACGATGATCATATGAACTTCTTGTAAAACCAACAGGCATAACAAAGTTAACAAACTTTTTATACCATTGTCTAGGGACTGTTTCGAGCCATACATGGATTTTTTTAAGTAAACACACGGATACATTTATAAAACCTTTAGGTTGTGACATAAATTATTTCATCTAAATCACCGTGTAAAAATGCAATCTTTACATTCATTTGTTCAATTTTCCAATCATGATGAACAGCCAAAGCAAGTAAGACTGATAGTAGAATATTTCATAATAGTTGAAACTTTTCATTATAGTCAACATCCTATGTTTCTGTAAATCCACTTGTAACTAATCTAGCCTTAAATCTTAAAGGTTCTCTATCACTACTCCCCTCCTTAACCTTGTATATCCATTTAAAATCTACAATATACTTGCCTTGAGGTTTAAGAACAAGAACACACGTTTTATTTTTCATGAGAGAATCCATTTCCTTTCTCTCATATTAGATTCCCATTTGCTAGATTGATTGAAACTCACAGCCTCTTTATAGGCTTCAAGTTCTTTA